GATTTTATATTACATTTTATCATAGTGACATTATTTGTCCAAGATGTGTGATTTAACATATTCAATTCGGAATGCTTTTTATTTGGGGGACTTTAATTGTAAAATAGTGAAGCTTTATGTTGTTTTCCAGGGAAATTTGAAGATAGATACATTGAATAATGAATGCAGTCCGATTACAACTGTCACAAAGTACAGTAGCGCATTTAAAAATCTGACAAAGGTAAATGTCATCCAGGCTATATTCTTGTTTCATTTGATAACACTCTTATCTGATGTTTTCATATCAATATCACCTTGTAAGTCGTGTTATATATAATGTCCATACGATTAATTGGTACTGATCATGAAGGTGGGATAGTTAAAATGTTTGATGACTTAACACTGTCACAATATTTGGAATTAATATATTATTTTAAAAAAACATTATTTTTACAACATGAGTTTGTTCTTAATAGGATTTAAAAAGGATTTCTGAAATCAGTCATTGATAGCTACCATTAAAGAAGGAGGAGGGTAATATCAACGTGTTCCAAACACAACCTTTAAATATGTTCTTTTAAGCAGGAATACGAGCTCTATATTGCTCTGTGCTACTATTTCAGTAACAGTTTTCAAATGAAGTTCTCAAACACATACTATTTTTTGTATTTATTGACTATTATTTCTATTTTATAATGTTCTTTAGAGGTTTCCCTGTATCATAGTTGTATGCTCTCGACAACAGATGATAGGTTATGTATGGCAACTGTATAATGGGCCATTAAAACCATCATCTCGGTGTTATTATATATTTCATTTCTCTTGTCATGTAATTTACAAGTGACTAAAATAAAAAGGTCGATAGAGAGATGCAATAGCATTTTTGTAATAAAGAAGGGATAACAAATTATGTTTTATTTGTGATTCAAACATAGAATTCAATTGCATCTCTTCACAACCCTGCATGTCACAGCCTTGTCAGTTTAAACATAATCCTAATTACCGTTTTGGAAACACTTATATGGAAGAAATATGGACGACTTGCACTTATTCTTTATCCCTCTTGTACACCTCAGTTAAACCGAGTCTGCAATTCTCATGTAATTTTGTTGTGATTAATGCTTCCGAGGGATCACTTTGTTTCCAGATTTTTATACGTCACAACAGCAGGTGCCAAGTGTTGTGTGACAGCTGTAAAAAGATGCCCCGTACTTCACTTCAGTGTTGTTATATTTTTCTGCTCCTTTGAGATCATTGATGTCAGCACTATTGAGTGTTGAGAATTGAGTACTGCTCAAGCCGGTGCTAGGGGGCGTGAGGGATATTGCACTTATTCATTATCCATCATGTTCAGACTCAAACCGAGTCTGCAATTATTATGTAATTTCGTTCTGATTTATGCTTCCGAGGGATTCTGAGTCTTTGTTAAATTTTATAATAGTGTTTTCTAAAAAAAAGTCCCTTGTGTTAAATTAATTTCACAAAATAACTTGTATGCTAACTTAAAGTGACATACCTACAACAGAGTAAGCTATAAAAACGTTTTGAACTAAAACGGTCAGTTTGATTGTTCTTTTTTTCTATAGCCATGGCTTAATAATTTACACACTTACTAATCAATACAAAGTACATAATCTGGTCGAGTAATATAACTATAGCTTTCATTTTTTCAAGTTCTTGCCCTTTTTATCAGCACTAACAATATGATTGTGGTTGACCTTAACCGGCAAGTTCTTCCTATACTAATGGCTTCATGATTTTTATGCTAACCTATCATTACAAAGTTAACGTAATTGCCAAGTTATATAGCTGTGCATCCATATTTCCCAGTTATTTCCCTTATCTTATATTTGGTAGGAACATAAATTGAAAAGTCTTCAATCTTTTGCATTAGTCAGGGGTCAGCCGGCTAAAATAGATTTTTTATACTTTTGCTCATACAGCCTTTATTCCTTTACAGATCTTTTTCATACTAAGAAGGAAATAACTTGCATGATATTCTGCTTTTGGATTGAGTTTGGGGTAAGGGGTCAATGTCATGGGTGCCAATAATAAATTTTTAATTGCTTACACAGACTTTATTTATTGACATACGTTTTTCATATTTTTAGGTTAACATCTTATGCGGTCTTCCTTTGAAATGAGCGACGAGTCAGTCGATCAAGGTCACCAGTAATAAAAATAGATATTTAAACTTTTGCATATACAACCTTTATGTATTTGATATGAATAAGGTGCCAGTGGGTCAATTTTAGGGGTGCCAAAATATTTTTTTTTTAACTTTTACATGTTTATCATTTTTCTTTTGACAGATGTCTTTTATTTTCAGTAGGAATATTAAACATGGGAATTCTTCTATCTTTGAAAGGAGGTAGGGGTCAGTTAGGTTAAGGTCACCAGTGCTTAAAATATAATTTTACACTTTTTACCATACCACATTTATTTCATTACAGACGAATTTCATATTTGGCAGGAAGATAACTTTCATGACCTTCTTCCCTTGGATAGAATTAGAGGTCAGTATGTCAAGGTCAGGGGTGCCAAAAAATACTTTATCACTTTAGAATGTGAAACATTTTTCTTTTGACAAATACCTTTTATTATTGGAATGAACATAAATTGTCTTCTCACTTTGAAAAGAGTTAGGGGCCAGTTAGCTCCAGGGCAGCGTTTTACTAACATTACGTAAGTTTTAACGTAAGAATTATCGTAATTTTACGCTTACGTTTAAATCGTAAGTGTGTTCCACAAAACGTTCGTAAGTTTTTTCTTAAACTTACGTTAAAATCGTGCGTAACTCTTCAAAGGAGGTTTTAAGAATTAGTCAATAAAGAAGCGTTTTGGTAATTTTCAATGACCACAAGACATTTTTAAACAAGGCTAAACTAGAATTTCGTAGCGTCATCAGGAATGTTGCTGTGCAGTTCGTATTTTAAGTGCATATTGTGCCATCAACCACACAGGGGTTTCTCTCGATTTTAAAATAAATGTATTTAAAGAGCATTAAGGAGAACCGCATATGATCCATCATAGAGGATATTTTAAGAGTTTTTATTTGTTTTGAGAAGTGAAAGAACGACAATGTCCGCAAGTGAAAATGTGGATTTTTTTTATTCTCATTTTTATATGAAATGTATACCTTAATCACTTAAACAAAAATATTTTTGTTTATTTATTTATTTATTTATTTACATGTATTTATGTATTTATTTATTTGTTATGTTATTTATTTATTTTTATTGTATTTATTGATTTAATACCTATCAATTAAAAAGAAAACCCCTTGATTTTAACGATTAAAATTACACCATGCGAACAACATGCGTAAAAAGATGACACAAAAATGCCACACGCAAACAAAAGCTATTTAAGTTTGTAGTCATCATTGTAGTGTAACCTTTAAGTATTTTAGTGAAGTTATGATATCTGAATATTTGCTATAAAAACAACTGCAACAGATACTTTTATGTACATTTGCAAATCATACAATTTAATGCACACAAAAAGTTCATCATCAATTTAGATACTCTCCTATCCCGTCTTCACTTACTTGATACAGTATTAAATTGCAGTTTCAGAGTTTCAGTTAACATTATATGTAATTTATAAAATTCTCAATAAATCTATATTTAGCATGAAATAATATAAAACACTTTACAACTGATTTAAAATACATGAGGTCGAGCTCAACCACGACTAAGGGCGGTATGGGGAACCGGTATATTTGTGGGGAAGAATATAATAGTTAAAAGGCTTTCTCTTTAAGCTGACAGTTTTTTTATATTTACTAATTTTCATTTTCAACAAGTCCGTAAAGCCACATTATCCTTTCCTTACTTAGATTTTACTTTTGTAGAGCCGCTTTCACCATTAAAATATATTACCAGTCACATCTGTCTCTAAATTCTAGCACGAAGTTATATGTAATATTAATCCGAGATTCTAGCTTTCCTTCTCTGCCATAATTCATTGATGATGTCAGTCTTTTTTACGTAAGTTTTAAGTCAACAAATTTTAAGCGGAACTTTACGTAAAAACTTACGAAATTCTTACTTGCGCAAATTTTTAGTAAAACACCTTTACGTAAAAAAAAATCTTACGTAAGTTAAAACTTACGCAAATCTTAGGTGTAAGTACGTTAGTATAACGCTGCCCAGGTCATCAGTGCTAAAAATATTTTTTTAGCTTTTGCCTATACAGTTTGCGGTCACATGTCCTAACCATACGTATTTACAGTTTTTTCTAATACAGCATTTGAATTCTTTTTCAATTTCTCATATTTAGAAGAGAAGAATATATTTTAGTCTTTTATGTTGGAGTAGTGTTTTGGGTCACTGGGTTCAGGTCATGCATTCATATATATTTGATAATATTTTATTTTTCAACTTAATCAAATATCAATGATATGTGAACTTTTTACAATAAAAACCGTTATAGCATTGTTTACATTTTTGGGGTAACTTTTCTTTTCATATAGTCTGATTTTATTGACCTGTCAATTATAAATACATTATACGTAGCACTCATTTAAATATTCGATTCTCCTTCGGTTCTGTCCGGATAGATTATGGAAATTAGTTTGTAGTATATGACTAATGTTTTGAAAAGTCACATTATCTGAATGCTTATGTTCTTGTCATATCCGCAATAGCTCAGTCGTTTGAGTGATTAACTAATATATTAATCTATGGTTCGATCCATATTTTTGCCATAATTGTTTTAAGACCCATCTTTTTCTTTATTTTTTGACGTATGTTTTAATGAATAGGGCTTGCAAAATATTCTAAACGGGTATGACACAATTTACAACCACATATTTTGTTTTGTATTGGATTATTTGGCATTAAAATGACATTTAATGACTTTAATTTTAATTCTTAAACATGCTATTTCAAAAGTGTACGGTTCAGAATGATTGAATATATGTCACATGATAGCAAGTATAATGAAACCTTTTTTCCATTAAATAGTGCATACATGTAAAAAGTGATAAGATAGGAAATGTTATAACATTATTAATGTTTTTATTCAGTAAATCACAAAATGAATCAGTTTTAATATGTTTTTCTTTTCCTTCATTTCTTGTAGACAAAATATCTGGTAACTCTGATGAATAAATTGAACCTGAAAATAGAGGAAAGATAACAAATAGCAATAAATGGACTTGTTAATTGTCAATAATTATACTTAAACAGATAATGAATACTAGTTCATAACCATAACATGAAATTTAGCCTGAAACTAATCGGGTGGGGCTACTCAAAGTATGAAATGTTCCTCTGCATAAATGTGTAAACGTGAGTGAAACAGTATGTGCGAGAATAAATAAATGTCCATTTTTCCTTTTCTCGTGTGTATGACTTTCTATTGCTTGCTGCTAATATACCTGGCTGAGACACTATGACTATTTTATTTTTCCTCTATAATATTGCATAACGCTAAATTATTTTACATGTACAATATTTCCTTTCAAAATTATATGTGCATAATATTATTTTCAAATTAAGATCATAGGGAATATTCACCACTTTAATCCCATCCTCCCCATCGTCTTCTACAACAAAGCTGTCTTCCGTACCCACAGTGTCCTCTTGAATATTCTCCATACCAACAACTATATCTGCAGCTACAACGTCCACCACCACCAGGTCGGTATTGGGCTGAAATGATTACGAAATAATGTTGTAGCTTATTAAATTGATATAAACAAAAACTCATAAATCATCAATTTCCTTCGTCATTTTCTATAACTGGGTTATGTATGTACTTGTAAGCATTGAAGGTTTACAGTTTGTATTGTTTAATATTAAAATGCAAGATGATTCTTAAATAAATTATCAAGATGGGAACAAAGACGAAACAATTCAATACATGATGTCATGAAATATTTATAATTGTGCAGGGCAGTAATATAAAATTCTATTACTTTTACAATGTCTGATGTTCCTTTAAATTGATAATTAAAGTTATAAATGAGAACGAGATTTTTTTACAAAATAATTGGACCTATCATTACACGATGGTAATGTTGATACGTAAACTTGATAATTCTTTTATCGCAGAAATTGCACAACACCATGTGACTTATGACGGTTTGTAAAAGGCACACTGTGACTCAGAAATCCATATCTTTAATATTTTAGGAATGTGAAACATGCATTTAGGATGTTTAATTAATATATTTAAAGTATGTCAGATGTTTAACAGCTGAAGAAAGTAGCGCGAACCGTGTGGTAATGTGTTGTAAAGATAACAAAATGTAAAAAAGTAGTATTTTGACTTCCATACAAAACACTTATCAACTTTAACTTTACCAATGGCCAACAGAGAAAAAGAAGAAAAAAGAAGTGCATCTATAATGCAGATGTGTATTTCTTAGAAACTCAAACAGGATATCAATATCAAAACGTTTTTGAGTAGTACTTCGAAGGCATAATGGTCTTTAAAAATCAAGTTGTTTTACGATTTAACAAGGATAAAATGAAAATATATTAATAGTCTACAAACATCAGGATCAACTTAAGTAAATGGATGTTAAAAACATTATTAAAAAACAACTGAATCTTTTTAAACAGTTAAATTTGTTGAAAACTCCTGTCGTATAATACAATGTATTTGTATATACATAATATGTATCTTACCTTCTGCTACGTCAGGAAGCATCGCCATGGTGATGCAGCCTACCAATAACAAAACCAAAAGCAACTTATTCATTGCAAAAATAAATATTCCAACCTCACTCTATAAAAACCAGTAGTTAATGAAAGCAGATCAGATATAAATGAGATTAATTTTGACGATCTTATATACGAAAACAGCATCCAGGATATATCTATTTTCTTGTTTCATGTGGTAAAATCCTGATGTTTCCTTCACAATAACAAAATGTAAATCGTGTTGTAAAAACACTTTATACATGAATGTTCAAACGATTGATTGGTGCCGATAATGACAAGGCGATATTTAACTATGTTGATGACTTAACACAAGTTGTTTAAGATAAAACATTTTTGTATTCAAAATGTAGTTGTTTTTCGTTTTTGAAACATGAGCTTAATATTACAATGATTACAACTGTTTTAGTGTCATTTATTGTTGTGTTTATTACGGAAATGGTACTATCAATGTTTTAAAAACATAATTGTATTGTTATGTCCTGTTTAGCTGGAAAAGGAACCCATTATAATGAACTGTTCTACATTTTTATCAATGTGTTATGTTGGTTGTTTTCAGAAACATACTATTTAATTTGCATTCGTAAACAGTCTGTTTTTAAATCAATTGCTCTTGTGGTCATTTCCTTTTTGAGATTTTTATGCAATAACAAGACGACAACATCTAAATAGAAATATTTTTAGGAATTTAACATCCACTGAAAAATTTACGAGTCTTTGATTAAATTTATAAAACCTTTTTCTGAAAACAAGTATTGTGTTGAAACAAATTTAAAAATTACATTATGCATCAAACAAGCAATTCTGCCGAATTTATATTCCCGCTCTATATATCATATGATTATAGGAAAAGAATGATACTAATAGGAAGTTTCTTAATTATTATGAACATCAACATATGAGAAAAATGGATTTGTTACTTATTACTAAACAAAGATGAAAAACTTGTACAGTGTCTTGACATACATTAAAACAATTACAAAAGTTCGCCATCTTGTTTGAAAAATATTGACAATTGAAGTACAGTTTTATACAACAACAAAGAATATGTTTTCATTATCTTAAGAAAAGTTTTGCTAGTTTCATATTTTTAGTTGAAAAGTGCTAATAAAGGAACATAGTTTTAAATAATAAATAAAACCAATGAAAATGTCTATGAAAAGATTTTTTGTTTTTTATTGAGACAGGTACTTATTTTACATCAAATAAGAAGATGGTGTGGTAAGAAAACCTGTTAGATTTTGTCATATTTTAAAATAGGGGCATTAAAATATTATTAAACAATTTTTATCTTGATACAAATCTAAACATTTGTGAAAAATATAAAGAACGTTTACCATGCCGATTTCAAATAATTATCATTTTAGTTGTTTCCATATCGCTACCACATTTTTTTTTTTTTGGTTTTACGTGACATCGACACAGTATAGGTCATATCGCGACGTTCCAGCTTTACTGGTGGAGGAAGACCTCAGGTGCCCTTCCGTGCATTATTTCAGGCACGAATTGGCACCTGAGTAGAACCACCGACGTTCCGTAAGCTAGCTGGATAGCTTCCTCACATGAAAGAATCCAAAATCCCTGTCGGGATTCGAACCCACAGCGCTGAGGGGCAAGTGGTTTGAAGTCAACGACCTTAACCACTCGGCCACGGACGCCCCTCGCTACCACATTAATTTGTTCTTAATTTCAGATTTAAAATACAAAATAAGAAAAAAATCAAAATGCGGACAAACAAAAAGACGAAAAAATACAAAAAGCAAAAAATGCTGGGGTTTAAACTCACACCCTATCGAAACTTTGTGTCCTCATTGAGAAGGAAGATTATGTATTAGGCATCTAATACTTTAATACCATTAAAAGTTGTGTTGATAAACTTAAATATAATACATTATAGCAAACCATGAAAGTTATAATCAAAAATGGATAAAATAAATTTCATAGTTTGTATCAATATTTGAATTATTTATGGAAAATGTGCTCAGTGAGACCAATTCACATTAAATATAAATGACATTGACTCACTATAAAAAGAAACAAAGCTACAGGGCCATAGTGTTAAATAATAAATGAAACCAATGACAAATGTCTATGAAAAGATTTTTTGTTTTTTTTTTATTGAGACAGGTACTTGTTATTTTACATCTGTGGTAAGAAAACCTGTAAGATTTTGTCATATAAAATAGGGGCATCAAAATATTATTCAATAATGATTATCTTGATACAAATCTAAACATTTGTGAAAAATATAAAGAATGTTTACCATGCCGATTTCAAATAATTATCATTTTAGTTGTTTCCATATCGCTGCCACATTCATTTGTTCCTAATTTCAGATTTTATATACAAAATAAGAAAAGAATCAAAATCCGGACAAACACAAAAACGAAAAAATACAAAAAAGGAAAAAATGCTGGGGTTTGAACCCACACCCTATCGAAACTTTGTGTCTTCATTGAGCATCTAATACTTTAATACAATTAATAGTTGTAATGATAGACTTAAGTATAATACATTATAGCAAAACACGAAAGTTATAATCATAAATGGGTTAAATAAATTTCATAGACTGTATCAATATTTGAATTATTTATGGAAAATGTGCTCAGTGAGACCAATTCACATTAAATATAAATGACATTGAATCACTATAAAAAGAAACAAAGCTATGCATATATGTTGAATAATTTCGATTGTAGAGTACAGCTGTAGTCCCCAGCAGTGCTTATTCTGCTGACCGTACCAAGGCGGCGCCACTCTGTGTTCCTCAGATGTATGTCTGTTATTCCATACTATTATGGTGACATTTTTTGTCCATTGTTGTTTTCTCGTCTACGGTATGTATCTTCCATTTGCCCCTATGTTTATTTAATATTAATTCTGCACACATCCCCGTCCTTATAGTCCCCTTCCCAAATACCCCTTTACCTTTGTAGTCCTATTAATTAGTCGTCTCTTTAATTTCATTGTCGGTGTCTATGTTTTCCTATCATATATTATTATAGTAATCACCTGGTCCGTGCTTTGCGCCTGTCTTGATTTCATTTGGGTCCTGTTGGGCTCCTTGCCGGTGGTCCTGTGTTGCTGGTCGTGTTGGGGTTGCGTTCTTTGAACGCCGGCCTTCCTTGTTGATCTTATTTTTCATATCGTTTCCTTATTTCTAAAATATGGCTCCGGACAGAATTTTTTATTTACAAACTGTCTATCATTAAGTAAGTGCCATTGCATCTTTGGTATAAAAAGTAACAAAGTATTTCTTATTTGCTTTATTTTAGAAAAAAATGCGACTATTTAAGACTTCTAAAGGTTCATAATTTAATAACACAGGTGTGGTTATTAGGTTGGAAATTACCTTGTTTTAAAATGCATTCCGATTTTGAAATGATTTATACGATATACAATTAAATCAGTGTTTAGAAAATCGTATTTGAATGTGTATTGTGTTTTTACTACCACATTCAGTATTGTTATATTTTCTGGTAATCGGGATCGTTGATTCCAATACTATGAGTATTTTGGGATTGAATTTCCCTCATACTGGTGCGACGCAGCGGCGAGGATAATGTTGCACTTTACAAAACTCTGTTGAACAGTTTCATTAGAGCTAAGAATACTATTTTTTTCCATTTTTTTTTTCTTTTTTGTTGGCATTGTTCTATCAAAGGATCGCCACTGTTCATTTATTTTTGCACTGTCAATGTTCAAATGTAATGTTTCTGATTCAGCAATAGTCAGTTGTTTGATTTTGATTTCATTTTTAAAAAAGATCATATGATATACTGTCTGCAAATATCTGTATTATAGTTGTATTTAATACAATAGAGGAACACAGAATCCCTAAAGAAGGCCCAACACGGCAAAGTTGAAAATGTTGCAGATACGGTTTGATTAAGCCTGTTCATTGACTGTACTAGAAAGTGCAGGTCACCGGCCCCTAGCACCGGCTTAAGCAGAATTCAACACGAAAATGGTGAAATTATTAATTTAGCAGCAAAGAATGTCTGGAGTACAATAAAATAACTCCTCAAATATTTTTCCCATACTTAAACAATAAATATACTTTTCACTTCATTGAAAATATAAATGATGAACATAATACTTATTGTATCAATTAATTTCTAGTTTATTTTGTGCATGTTTTATATTCTATCATTTGCTCTGTCAATGTATTTACTAAGTTAGTGTTGATTTACTGTTACAACTGCCTTTTGGCGTCTCGTCTGTGATATGCAGGCTTCATAACCTCTGTTCCCTTTTCAAATTACAATTTTATTAGTGCCGCCCTATGTTTTACTTGTTATGGGCATACGCATTATTTTATTTGGCAATCACACGCCGCTTTTCATGGAATGACACTAAATTGTCACATTGAAGGTTACATGATTAACGCCGCGGATATTAATAGGTTCAAAATGTCACCATTTGTCAATTTTAATTGTTGAATTAAGCTTAAATCGGTGCTAGCGGATGTGGAAGGTAACTTATATTTCCAAGTACCGTCCATGAACAGGTTCAGTCAAACAGAGCCTGCAACATTTTCAATTTGTCGATTTGGGCATTCTTTTCTCTATTTAAATATTACCTTTAGTAAAATGTTTACCACTGGCATCAACGTGCTATTGAAAACACATATTTCTTAAAGAAATGTCTTACACTTTATGTTACACAATCAGGAACGATGAGGAGAAAACATTTCTATTGTAAATATTTTGTAAAGCAATTGTTAATACTGATATGATCTAGAAAAGATGGTGAAAGGATCTTCTCATAAGTATCTTACATTCATCCTCCTTCTGTACTTGAATTTCACATCTTCCTATTCCATATTTTCCAGCAGTATTTGCATCTAAAATTGCGGCAAACACTAAGTACTAAGTACTATCTATAATTACTTATGTGGAAGAAAATCAGCACGATGGAAATATCAGTGAACTTGATTTCTACCTTAAACATAGGAGGACATTCAAATAGATTACTACACATTTTACAGCTGTTCTAGAGTTTACATAATACTTAGATAATTCTATTGTGACTTCTCATTATTTACTTTATTTTAGATTTACATGAAACATTGTGGGATTACGTTCCGGCATCCATTTTATAGTTAGCAAGCCTTTCTAGAAATACTTA